TCAGTGAGAAGCCCAACCTGTGCTTTTAGCGCACGCCAGCGTGTGATATTCACCCAAAATCACTCTGGTCTTGTTTCTATATTCTGCGGCCTTTCTCTTCTTATCATACACTTCGTAAACATTTTTTCTCTTTCGACCCTCAGCCATTTTCAAAGGAATGGCTGAAACCGTAACTCCGACATAATACACCTGAAAGAGAAAACTACATATGGGATGAGCACGTAGCCTAAGACGGCCTTACGTAAACATATCACCAGAATGATTGACACTTAGGTGGACCAATAGTATAGACTACCCACCCGGAAAAAGAAAATCCTCCGCTATACCTTTAATTCATATGGATTAGTATTACAGTCTTTTTCAGAATTTTCTGAAGTGTGTGCCAAAGTGGTAGTTGCATAGCTGTCGTTGTGTACAAGGAAAGATTTCGACCAGAAGAGTTGATGCTTGAATTTTCTTTATTCTCTATTACTTTGCTACTCAAAGTTGCGTGGGGAAAGGGGAATGGGATAATTGCAGTATGGAGCAATAGCACCTCATTGCAGTACACGAGATCCAGGGGGCGGAGTTGGATCCAGATCTAAGGGGTGGAGTTAGGGATCAGGGAGTGGAGATGGGTAGGATTGGGGGTGGGGTTAGGCAAGCCCGTTGGCAGGGGGGGGTTCGGGTGGTTCGAACGAACCCCCCTTACTGCCAAAGGTCCAGAATTTAAAGTCGTTTTTTTTATGTGATTATTGTCATCAGTGTTTTAATCAATGCTTGTGACAAATATTCTGGGTTGCTGTTTCAAATTAATATGATTATTGTAGCTGGACGCGTGTGTGTGTGTGTGTGCCGCACGCATGTGCAGTTCAGAGAGAGTTCTCGAGTCGACTTCACTTTTCAAAGCAACGGTGAAAAAGCATCACCTCTGAATGATAGGGCTGCGGGTCGATTCCAAAAAGAATCGATTCCGAGGCGTTGGGAATTGAGAGTCGATTCCAAAGGTTCAAAATGCAAAGGTTGGAATCGATTCAATTAAGGGGAATGATCTAGCGTCACGCTCGGTTACGACAGTCAATATGATGAAACTCTCTCCAAGATGATTCACTGTTACTATTATTATGCTTGACCTGTAGATAAAGCTCTATGGTTTCGCATAAAATGACTATATTGCTGGACTGTATTGCTGTTTCTTAACCATGTTCCTTTCTACCGTGTGTCTGTTAGATCACAACACAGGAGATCACTATCATTCTTCACATGCACAGTAACTGAAATTTAACTGTTTAAAGAAAAGGTTCAATAAACTATTGTATAGAATAGATAGATGGCAAAAAATGCATCTCAAAATGCATCAGATTGATGCTTTAAATTAATATGGAATATCTAAAATTTTCTCATGGGGGAGCATGCCCCCGCACCCCCCTAGAGGAGGACTTATATATATATATATATATATATATATATATATATATATATATATTTAATTTTTTATTAAAAAGATTTATATACTTTATCAACTCAATAGTCTACAATATAATAGCCATATAAACGTAGCAGAATTATAATACAATATTTGAGGCCCATCAAAAAGCATGCTCGTTAACCAGCAGCTAAACCAGCACAAATTAGTGCATAAAATGGCAGCAAAATGAAGTATTTGAACCTCATAATTAAATACAAAAGGTGGAAAAAAACTGCAAAAAGGTCCACTTTTTGAAAGAAAGAACCCCCCCCCCCCCCCCTTCAATAGGCTGGCTACGGACCTGTTAGGGATCAGGGAGTGGAGATGGGTAGGTTTAGGGGTGGAGTTAGGGATCAGGGGGTGGAGATGGGTAGGTTTAGGGGTGGAGTTAGGAATCAGAGGGTGGAGATGGGTAGGATTAGGGGTGGAGTTAGGGATCAGGGGGTGGAGATGGGTAGGTTTAAGGGTGGAGTTAGGGATCAGGGGGTGGAGATGGATAGGATTAGGGGTGGGGTTAGGAATCAGGGGATGGAGATGGGTAGGATTAGGGGTGATGTTAGGGATCAGGGGGTGGAGATGGGTAGGATTAGGGGTGGAGTTATGGATCAGGGGTGGAAATGGGTAGGATTGGGGTGGAGATAGGAATCGGGGTGGAGATGGGTGGGATTAGGGGTGGAGTTAGGGATCAGGGGTGGAGATGGGTAGGTTTATGGGTGGAGTTAGGGATCAGGGGGTGGAGATGGGTAGGTTTAGGGGTGGAGTTAGGGATCAGGGGGTGGAGATGGGTGGGATTAGGGGTGGAGTTAGGGATCAGGGGGTGGAGATGGGTAGGTTTAGGGGTGGAGTTAGGGATCAGGGGGTGGAGATGGGTAGGTTTAGGGGTGGAGTTAGGGATCAGGGGGTGGAGATGGGTAGGTTTATGGGTGGAGTTAGGGATCAGGGGGTGGAGATGGGTAGGTTTAGGGGTGGAGTTAGGGATCAGGGGGTGGAGATGGGTAGGTTTAGGGGTGGAGTTAGGGATCAGGGGGTGGAGATGGGTAGGTTTATGGGTGGAGTTAGGGATCAGGGGGTGGAGATGGGTAGGTTTAGGGGTGGAGTTAGGGATCAGGGGGTGGAGATGGGTAGGTTTAGGGGTGGAGTTAGGGATCAGGGGGTGGAGATGGGTAGGTTTATGGGTGGAGTTAGGGATCAAGGGGTGGAGAATGGGTAGGTGTTTAGGTATATGTAAGGTGGGAGGAGTTGGAATCCAACTCCTCCCCCTTAATTTCATGTTCTGCAGTGAAGACCATCTCGTATGGAGTCTCCTTGCACCTTCCACGTCTTCCACAACAGGTTTTGTCCATATATGGAAATGTGCATCACACAAACCCTAGGTTAAGAGAGCCCCTTCATTTGTAAAGTTAAATAAGCTGCAATGACAACTGATTAGGGACATGCAATATAGCCATAACAGCTGTAAAATGGAGGGAGAGAAAGCTCTCAGATTTCATTCAAAATATCTCTATTTGTGCTCCGAATAGGAACGAAAGTCTTGTGGGCTTTGAATGACACAAGGGTGAGTAATTAATGACAGAATTTTCATTTTCTGGGTGAACTTTAATGCCTTTTTGTCATTACAGGCACTTCCACGGTCGTGTGCAAGCCAATGGTCATCGAAGACCACCTTTTCATTATAGTCGCTCAACTTTTCGGTGGCTCTCACATTTACAAAAGGGACAGCTCTGCCAATAAATTCATCAAAATCCAGGACATTGACATCCTGAAAATCAGGAAGCCCAACGACATTGAGACTTTCCGCGTGGATGGCGAGTTCTACTTCGTGATAGCGGACAGCTCGAAGGCTGGCTCCACAACGGTGTACAAGTGGAACGGCAATGGCTTCTACTCGCACCAGTCTCTCCATCCCTGGTATCGGGACACGGACGTCGAGTACCTTGATATCTCCGGCAAACCCCATCTTATTTTGTCTAGCAGCTCACAGCGGCCCGTTATCTACCAGTGGAGCAGAAGCCAGATGCAGTTCGACAGACGGACGGACATTCCAGAGATGGAGGACGTCTATGCCGTCAAACACTTCAAGGTGAAGGGGGAGCTGTTTGTCTGTCTGACGCGCTTCATCGGCGACTCCAAGGTGATGAAGTGGGATGGCACTATGTTCACAGAGATACAGACAATGCCCTCGCGGGGTTCCATGATCTTCCAGCCCGTCTCCATCGGCAACTGGCAGTACGCCATCCTAGGCAGCGACTACTCTCTAACCCAGGTCTATCAGTGGGACACCAAGAAGAGCCAGTTCGTGCACTTCCAGGAGCTCAACGTCCAGGCGCCGAGGGCATTCTCGCTGGTGTCCATTGACAACAGAGAGTTCCTGCTGGCTTCCAGCTTTAAAGGGAAGACACAGATTTACGAGCACTTGATGATCGACCTGAGCAGTTAGTGTGCCAACTGAAAGCGCAGAGAAGCAGATCCTGGCTCAGCCGAGCCTGTTGTGAAAACACATGCATGATCTAGCCTAGCGCTAATAATAATATTCCAGATGAATGCCTCTCTAGAAACGCCCCTTTGTGTCTTTCTCTGTTGTCACCATCTGTTCTGCACTTTTCATTTTTCCTGTTTTTTTGTGTCCTTTTCAACAAAAGCTATTTAACGTATTCTCATGCTTTGCCGTGTAGTCACTAAAGAGGTATAACAAGGAAACAACAAAGGTCAAATCAGTTAGCTGTTGACGTGATAACAATCTGCCAAATAAACTGTTTACATTTTTACAGTGATGTAAAAAGCCATTTTTAACTTTTTTAAACAAAAGCGACCAGTTTAACCACATTGGATGTGATAGATTTGAAATTAGTCTTGACTCAACAATTTAATGAATAAACTTAGCAATAAACTTAGATTTAGCTCAACTCTTGAGGAAAAGTAACTGTGGGAAGAAAGGTTAGTTGTCAGTACTTGTTTTTTTATGTTAGATCTAATAAAACCTTTAAAAAAATGTAAGTCTGTTTTGTTGTAATGCATGAATTTTGCTTATAGTGGGAAGCATATGAGGGTAAATCGCATGAATGAAATTATGTCTATGGCCATATTTTTCATTAAAATCAAAGAAACAAGATATGGTCCTAAAATGTGTCGTTTTCATTAAGATTTATTAGTGAAATATGACCTGACTCAGGCTCCCATTGGCATATAAGCACAAGTGTTTGATAATTGAATTCACTGAATTCATTTTTTTTATGCTTTATTATTTTGTTACACTATGGTACAACAAAATTAGAACATAATAATTAAGAATAACACCAATAGAGAGAATAAAGAAAACACGAACAACCGATACCATTAGCTCAAAGCAGAAACAGACAGTGACTAATAAAGGAAGAAAGGGACTAATAAAGGAAGAAATACACATTGCTTTTTTTGTTAAGCAAGTGTGAAATTGTTAGTAAATGTTTTATATCTTGTAAGAATACTAAATTGGGTTTATTATAAAGCATTTGAATCCGCTTCAAAAAAAAAAAAAAAAATCCAAAAATAACAAGATAAAACTAACAAAGACAAACTAACATCTCCCCAGAGCTGAAAAGTATAATTGAACGACTAAAACAGATGAAGAAGTGTCAAAATCATATCCACTAAGTTTTCATCAGAAAAGATTTGACAGGGTGAATGTCATTTAAAAGTTATTTATTTTACTCTGTTTGTGAGGAAAAATCATTGTTGCATATAGACTAAACATTTTGTCAATTTAAATGATCAAATTCAAAATGATTTATTAATTTAAATGCTATACTCACATTACAAGCAACAAACATGACTAGTCATTTCCAACATATAAAAATGTAAACAATACATTATATATATTGCTGCCTTAAAATTTTAAAACAATCAACTTGGATGTTTATGTCATTTCAATATTGTATAACTTATAAAATAAGTGGAACTTATTTTGATGCATCAAAGCAATGCACAAACCTTTGTCATAACTTATTTGTTTTTACTGTGTAGATATAGAAAAGGAGAATACAGTCTAATATATAAAATAATAGGCTACTTTACAAGTAAAGGAAATTAATAAAAAAATAAATAAAAATAAAACAGAAAAGGTACGGGTATGAATTCATACAAATTGCGTAAAAGCTTCACATATAGACCTAGTGCGTTTTGCTTTTACTATTTTTCAACCCAATTAGTAACTCAATAGAATTTGTATTCAAAATGAATTCTACTCCGTTGTCTAAACTCTTTGAAACGTCATTGTTGTCCAGCCCCTCTTCACATGCATTTTGTCTTCCTCTAGCGGCAGAAAGCAAACCAACTCTTTCTTTGTACAAGGTTAATTATTTAACTTGTTGCTCTTGGTCGGTTGTAAGCGTTTCTCCCCGAAGGCAAGCGTGTGTCCAGGGTCGTGGTTAAGGTATGCCCAGCCGCTCTCTTCTGTCATGGGGGATATTAGACAGCGCAATGGCTCTATAGGTAATAATGACACAGATTTATCTGTTGTCCCTTGTAGAGTTGACAACAGAGTGTTTTATCAGAAAGTTGACGATGGGGTCGATGGGGAGGAAATCGAGATGCAAATTCGAGCCGAAGTGCGGGATACGGATGCTGACGCTGAGGACTGCCGACGGGGAAACGGACGGACTTTTTACCGGGTTTGTGTGCCGGTTTGCTGTAAGAGAAGCGACACAGACCGCGACGAGGATAAGGATAAGGATAATGAGGATGATTGTGAGGAGGAGGAGGACACGGGGGCAAAAACTGTTGAGAAAGGTAAACTGATCTCAACTCTAACAGGAGTCTGGATTTGGTCCCCGATCGATCTACAGTATCTGTTCTGTTCATGTCTATATCTACACCTATGTGACTAGTGTTACTTACAGCTACCGAGAGCAGTTACAAGTCCCTTACAGTAGCGTAACGTTAGTAACCATCGTTTCCGCATACCTCAGTTATACTACAAGTATGTGTTAACTTGGTTTTTATCATAAAATAAAAAATTTAAACAGCTACGTATCTTTAACTGTTGTAACGAAACAACATATCAATTCATATGAATTTAACGCACCGATATGAAATTGTTGGTCATACCGATAATTCTTTATATTTGAAAGCCCCTAACCGACATATCCTAATTTTTATATTCTTTTTGAGAGCCTTGATTACAAAAACAAAAGTCTCACAAATTAAAAGTCATGTTCAAACCACACAAACTCGTAATTTTTTTATTTAGCCTACATGAGACTTACTGTATTTTCTTTTTTGAAGTGATTTCATATTTCAAGCAATTCAAAACCTTTATGGCAAACAGTGCGCATTTGAAGGGATGGAAATAATCCATCATTTATCAGTTTTATTATACTGGCCAAATTTTCTCATTGGGCAGATAACGTTAACATTAAAAATGAATATATATCAGCCAATACTGATATGGTATATCATGTATCCCTACTATACATTTTAATAATATAATAAATGGCAGGTTTGCCATGGTACGTTACGTTACAGTTACGTTGTAACAAACCTGTGACATACATTCACCAAGGTGGTAACCATAGTTTCTTCTTTAAAATATCACAGATACTACAATAAACCTGCTGAAACTTTGTTCAACGAAGATGGTAACTTTTTAATGGTTTACTCTATAAAAGCTGACGAGAATAGATATGTTGTATCAAACCTGTTACAGTCACCATAGTGGCCATGGTATTTTTTTTTTTTTAAATACCATCGATAGTACAGTAATCTGCTGTTTTGTATTAGCCACATGCCGTAAAAAAAGTTAACTAATTTAAGTTTAAATTAAAAAAAAAATTATACATTAAATTTTAGATCGTTTGAAGGAAAACTTATAATTAAAGTAGCCTAATTGTGGAATGAATGGCATGGTTATTACCATGGTAACTCCTTTTTATAGCTGACGAGAACAGTTACATTGTATCAAGTCCCTTACATACAGTTACCATTGTAACCATTGTTTCCGCTTTTCAAATAAACTGCGGTTTCTTGGTTATAGCCACCTTTCATCCAAAAAAAGTGTTATCTGTTGAATTCGTATACACTAATATGGGATTTAGCTAGTTATGCATTTTTTAATTACAGTGGTGGCTAATTCCAAGTTATAGTGTATACTGGATACAATAAAGTGCAACAGGTCAGCGCTTGTTCCTGAAGTATTTTCTTGTAGCGAATTTATAGAAGCCTTCAGGCGTTATAAGCCATGGCATGAACCAAACGAACCAGTTACAAGTTGGATTACAACATCACAAATGTTGATTTGAAGCAACAAAACATATTTTGGACAAAAAGACAAAAGTACAAAGACGGTGTATTTAACAGATTCAATTGAGGTAAAGAACTACAATCTCATGAAGCACTGCGAATTACATGATCAAATTTAAAGTGACCTACAGTGAGTTTGATTTAGTTCAGAAATTCCTCTGTGGTGGAAATGAAGGCGATTTTGAATTCAGACTGTAGCAGTCCATTGTTGATGGAAACTGTGGTGACCATGGTAACTTTTGGAAGGGAAACACTTTTACTGTATCTAATTTGGCTGTTTTTCATTCTAGGCAAGTAGATATCCAATGGGATTTTGTTTCAAAGTACCTTTGAAATTTTAAGTTGTCATCTTGTCTTAAAGAATAAAGAACATTAAGGAATATAATCATTCCTCAGGAAGAAGATACCAGAAAATGCCTTATCATCATGAGCAGTACTGGATGTGTGGAAAAACAGTTTGAATCACACAAGGAAACAATGTTCTTTTGTCTATTCTGTTCTCTCTAAACGCTCAGGTGAATTTGTTTATTTTAAACCAAAACCGTATTGTTGGGTATGTGTTATGTTCCAGGGCCCATGATCTTTGAGTCAGCCCAGGTCCTCATGGGACATTTGATACAATTTGGCGTTTGTCCAATGTTGGCAGTCACACAACCTGATTGAGCGTGCTGCTCAGCTCACCCACAGGTAGTAAAGTTGCGTTTGGTTGCATAATCATTTCCGTCACATTTGATATCATTTCAGTGAAACGTGAAACAGAACCAACAACGGTGTGTTCACCGTTTCATGCTGTTTCATGCTGAGATTCATGCTGTTTTTGTTCCATCTCACTCCACTCCAAATATCAAAAGACAGATTACACTTTAAAAAGCCAAATCAAGCTGTGTACTACTACTCATGTCTCATTTCCATTGTTTGTGGAGACGGTTTGTCTACATATGTGGTAGTAAAGTCATTTCATATGGTGCTCCAATGAATAAACATGGTGGAAAAGAGAAAAATATAATACAATTTAACCTTGTACAGGATCAGTTTAAACTAAAATTACTTGTCAGTTCTGCTCAGTTAACAAATAGATAGATAGATAGATAGATAGATAGATAGATAGATAGATAGATAGATAGATAGATAGATAGATAGATTTCATTAGGGATTCATTTTTTTCTCTGCAAATATTTATTTATGCAGTTAAAAAAGTTTAAATCATCAATTTGCACATCATATCATTAATTTGCTCCAAATGTTGAAATGACGGACAGGTCTGATGTTAAGCTGTTTTGTTATATTCATCCACAGAAAAGAAACCAGCTTGTCCAGGGCTGGGCCTCCTGTATAGCTTGTTAGCATCCGTCTTCTTTTCCACTGCTGCTCTTCTTGTGAAGAAAATCGAAGGGATGCACGCCATCCAAATCAGTGCGGTTCGGTGCTTCTTCCAGATGCTGTTTGTCTTACCAGCCATGATATATTTCAAGTATGAATCTATGATACATTACAAGAATGATTCAGATATACAGTATTTCAAGTATAAATCTATAATACAAGTATGAATCTGAACATAAATCTATAATACAAGTATGAATCTGATTTATTATAAGTATATATACAGATATATATATATAGTATGAATCTTATATTACAAGTAAAAATCTAAAATATAAGTATAAATGTATAATACAAGTATGAATCTGATTTATTATAAGTATGAATCTATAATTCAAGTATGGATCTGATATATTTACATTTATTTATTTAGCTGACACTTTATCCAAAGCAAGTTTATATATACTGTATATATATATATATATATATATAGTATGAATATATAAGTATGAATCTTATATTACAAGTAAAAATCTATAATATAAGTATAAATCTATAATACAAGTATGAATCTGATATTACAAGTAAAAATCTATAAGTATAAATGCATAATACAAGTATGAATCTGATATTACAAGTAAAAATCTATAAGCATAAATCTATAATACAAGTATGAATCTGATTTATTATAAGTATGAATCTGTAATTCAAGTATGGATCTAATATATTTACATTTATTTATTTAGCTGGCACTTTATCCAAAGCGAGTTTATATATATATATATATATATATATATATATATATATATATATATATACAAGTATGAATCTTATATTACAAGTAAAAATCTATAATATAAGTATAAATCTATAATACAAGTATGAATCTATAATTCAAATATGGATCTGATATATTTACATTTATTCATTTAGCTGACACTTTTTCCAAAGCGAGTTATATATATATATATATATATATATATATGTTTGACATGTTTAATCTGATATATTACAAGTAAAAATCTAAAAACAAGAATCTATAATACAAGTATGATTCTGATATATAACAAGAATTTATAAAGCAAGTATGAATCTATAATACAAGTAGAAATCTAATATATTTCAAGTATGAATCTATAATACAAGTATGATTCTGATATATTTCTAATCTGAATATATAATATCAGCATACATCTGATTTATTACAAATATGAATCTATAAAACCAAGTATGAATCTATAATATATTTCTAGTCTGAATCTATAATACAAGTAGAAATCCGATATATTACAGTACAAGGATGAATCTATAATATGAATGAAATGGACTTTAAAAGACTTTAATACAACTATTAATATTTAAAGGTGCAGTGATGTTGTGAATTACAACTAAAAGAAGTTACGGTGGCCGACAGGAAAAGATAAGCAGAGAGTAACCAGTTAACCAATGAGATTTCTTTACAAAGATAAATTAAGAAATGTCTTATTCAGCAAAACGATATGTTATTGCGAATATTATTATTTGTTCATCATTGTATCAGTGTTTTATTCGCTACATTTAGCTAGCTTCTTTGCACAAAGAACAACATAGTGACAAAACGCACTCTGTTGAACAGTTTCTCCATTTAGGGCTACTGTAGAAATATGGCTAAAAACATTTAGGGCTACCATTTAGGGCTGAACGATTTTGGAAAATAATCTAATTGCGAGTTTTTTAGCCAATATTGCAATTGCGATTTAATATGCGATTTAAAAAAAAAGTTATTTACCTTCTGTATTAGTCGACAAAGACAAGCAATAAATAATTGTATAGTATGGATGGGAATCTTTAGATAGCTCATGATTCGATCTACTTTTTTTCTTATTAATTAATCTTAATAACTCTTAAAATATGAATTTAATTACATGTGTAAAAACACATACTTTAAAAAATAAATATATAAAAAAACATTTAATTAAAGCAATTACATGTTAAGAATTTTAAATAGGCTATATAAAATAATATAGCTTCAAAATATAAAAGCTAGTAAATAAAGAGAAACAAAAAAAAAACATTACAAGCAATAAAGAAAGAGTGGTCTCAGTATTTAAAAGTAGGCTGTCTGAATGTTTATCATTCAAGAGCTGGAGTGATTTCCCCTCAGTTTAAATACGATAAGCTGCATTCACACTAATGCATATATCTCTTTTGAAATTGTAAATGTGGTTTGTCCTGTTGGTTTAAGATATAACTGACTGTGTTTACATTAATTTCGCGTCATAAAAGCATTTTGACATGCAAGTACATTTACCAATGAGTCGCTCACGGCCGCATGCACGAGCGCTCTTCACAAAGCATGCGTTAGTATTTTAAAATGAAAGCAGCCTTCTCAGTGATTTTCATAGTTTTAATATATAAGCCAACTGCATTCCAAAAGACATAAATAATGCCTCTGTGAAGCATTTGTAAAGAAAATTCCCGCGGGAGAGAACGCGCACTGCAAGTGTAACGTTATAACATCAAGCAAAGCGGCAAAACCTGTTCAATGAAGCCCGCGAATGTCCTTGTAATTCGGTTCAGTCCCGAACTTTATGAAATAACGTTACTATGTTTTGGAAGGTTCGAGCGGTGTCGTGTGTGTGTGTGTGTGAGTGAGGAAGAGAGAGAGCGAGAAAATAGAAGCAAGCAGATTCAGAACGCGGTTCGTTTCTGAAGCACGCGCAGCGTCATCATGCATCTGTGTTTAAAAACTATAAGCTCATACTCGATTCTGAAATTCTCTGAATCGATCCAGGATTGTTGAGGAGAGGAGAGAATAAATAACACAATAAACTGTTCTTTTCTGAACACCAGACCGCGTAGCGTGGCAAGTTGATGCTTTATCTTGCAGACTGCTTTTCTCTCGCGTGTCACGTGACCAGTATAATCGCAGCTCTTGCGATTACAAAATCGCGTTTCATCATATCGCGATTTTATCGCAAATGCAATTAATCGTTCAGCCCTAAGGGCACACGCAGTGTATGTAGATAGAAATGGATAGAAGGTCTTTATACACCACTAAACACAGTTATATATATTATATTGCATTTCTGTCAACAGATCCTCCTAAATATTACACAATGCACCTTTAATAACTACAAGTATGAAGCTACATTATATTACAAGTCTTGACCCTGTGATTGGATCCAATATTATTTTGATTCAGCAATGTGGGAATAGCCTAGCCTATAACCTTTTTAATTTTTCAGAACTGGCTTTTTGGGACCGAGGGGTATGCGAATCTACCTGTTCCTCAGAGGGTTCCTGGGGTCCAACGCCATGATCTTGTTGTATTATGCAGTTCTGCAGATGCCCCTGGCTGATGCCACGGTTATAATGTTCAGTAATCCAGTCTTCACGTCCTTGCTGGCTTGGATTTTCCTCAAAGAGAGGTGCACAATATTGGACGTCGTTTTTACTGTTTTTACGCTGACCGGCGTCATACTGATAGCCAGACCGCCGTTCCTCTTTGGTGGTGAGCTGTCTGGGATCGAAGGAGACTACACCAATCACATCAAAGGCACGTCGGCCGCATTCGCCGGGGCGATCGGAGCAGCTTGCACTATGGTCATCCTGAGAAAAATAGGTAAAAGTGTTCATTACTACCTCTCCGTCTGGTACTATGCAGTCTTGGGACTCTTCGAGTGTATCATTGTTTTGTTCATCTTGGACGAATGGACCATTCCGTCCTGCGGCTGGGACAGGTGGACGCTCATGGCCATCGGGCTGCTCGGGATAGCCGGACAGACGTTCCTCACCAAAGCCTTGCAGATTGAGAAAGCAGGACCTGTTGCACTGATGAGGACGATGGATGTGGTCCTGGCATTCATCCTGCAGTTCCTGTTCCTCAACCGCAAACCCACATGGTGGAGTCTGGGAGGAGCGCTGTGTGTCATCAGCAGCACTAGTGGGGTGGCCATGAGGAAGTGGTATAACAGCACGAGGAATAAGAGCTGATCTCACATTATAGTGAGATTGATGACAAGAGATTTTGATGTTTCCTACAAATAATGGCTGCATTAGAAACCAAAGAAGCTGATTTGCTGTAATCAGAGATCAGATTTTATCCATTAGGACCTTATTTGTATGCAGTATGTACAGTTTATTATAGTATTTTCAGTAGTTTCGTAGATATTCTTACCCCAGCAGAGGTTCGATATTTTTTAATCAAGATAATATTGTTAAGACAATACTGCTTTATCATATATAGATTATTATAAATTATATAATAATAGACTGCTGGTCAGAACCTGAGATTGGTGAGTGTAAAAATCACCAAACATGTCAATTTTGTCATTCTTTACTAACCCTCATGCCATTGCAGACCTGTATGATTTTTCTCTTTCATGAACTGTAAACGAGACGTTTTGACAGTTGAAAGTCAAAATTGATCTATTCTGTACAAGTTATGTGTTATTTCATTTGGACTCAGTATGTTAGGAACACAGAGTTTATACTGCAAGAATAATGATTTATTTCGTTTTTGAATACTAAATGCAGATTGTGGACATGATCCATTTAATCATTCTTAAAGGGATAGTTCACTTTGAAATGAATTTTGATATGTTTTAGCTTACCTCAAGGGCATCCAAGATGTAGGTGTCTTTGTTTCAACAGTATTTTCAATTTTGATATTTTTAGGTCAAACCGTTGTTGTTTGTCAGTCATATAATGGAGGTCTATGGTCACCACCTCAAAGAGCATGCACAGAGAAGTCCAAATTAAACATGATTTAATGACTCGTAAATTTAAGTACCCATTGATGGCCTAAGACACGAAACAAGCGCTTTGTGTGAGAAAACGAACAGTATTTAATTAGTTTTTACCTCTTGTAATCACAGTCACGTCCAAGTACTCTGAGGATGAGAGCGCTTCTGTCTGCGCAAGCCCCGTAAGTGTTCTTTCGCGCGTGTACGTCACTCATTGTTTTCACAAAGATTTCAGAAGTGTTACCCTTCACTGTGAAGATCTAAACATATTTAGATATACAGGAAATTGCAATGGAAGATGATTTCGATATATCAACAGACAACATTGATTTTTTTCCGTGCCTTCAGATCACTTGGTCGTGGCTGTGGTTACAAGAGGTTAAAATGATATAAATACTGTTCGTTTTCTCACACAAACCGCTCGTTTCATGTCTTAGGCCATCAATGTGTATTTACATTTACGAGTCATTAAATCATGTTTAAGTTGGACTTCTCTGTGCATGCTCTTTGAGGTGGTGACCATAGACCTCCATTATATGACTGACAGACAAGAACGGTTTGACCTAAAAATGTCAAAATTGAAAATACTGTGGAAACAAAGACACCTACATCTTGGATGCCCTTGAGGTAAGCTAAAACATATCAAAAATTTATTTCAAAGTGAACTATCCCTATAGGATATAAACTCTCAATCAAGAAAAACACAATAAATGAGTACATCTGAGATACATACTCTATTCCAAGCTAAACAATAAATTTGTTTGAGGACAACACTGAAATTTCAGTTATTTGCTGAATTTACCCCATTCGTCATCATCCACATGATGTGTATGACGTCAAACGTCATTGGTTGTGGTGTCCCATTCACTTTTATTGTATGGAAAAGAGCAGCGTGAGCATTCTGCCCAATGTCTCCATTTTTCTTCAATGGAAGAAAGTTTGGAAACACATGAGGATGAGTAAATAATGACATAACTTTATGGGAAATATGCCTTTAAAACCATTTGCACTTTGCCAATGACAATATACTGTAACTGGCCAGCTCCAGAGCGTCATGCGCTCTCAAAGAGGGCGACTCAGACGGCCTCGAAGCCGATTTGAAACTATGCAACATGGACCCAATTAAATGACCTTGAAGAGATGGCCGAACTGCCATACACTCCTTTGAGTTCAGCTAGATCACAAATAAGAACATCTAGCCAGTGCATGTGCGACACCTGTGGCCGGCCATGTGCTTCGAGGAGCGGCCTCTATTCACATCGCTGACCATCAACTGTGACGCGATCTGTCATGTCGACAGCTCAGACCACTACTGTAACTAGCATTGCTTTTAAGAGGAAGACACAGGGTCAACGGTTTGTCTGAATATTTATTTTTGCGTGCTCAAATTCAAGTTTGTTCTACAAAAATTTGAACCATATGTGCTTAAAGCTGAATAAGTCATATGTTCTCAACCCTGATGAACCAAAGGTTTGAACTCTGTCCTTGTGTACCTTAGATATACGCACACAGGTCTACTGTACAAATATTAGCCTGATACAGAACGAGTCTCTCTTGTTTATTTATCCGACATGTAAGATAAGTTGTTTTGATTTGTTACAAGAGGCCGTGACTCTAATGGCTGTTTATCTGCAGTTATCTGAACTGCATCTCATCTCACTTTTCTTTCTTTTTTTTTCTTCATTATTTTAATTTGACATTTTTATTTAAACCTGTTTGTGTAAACTGACCTGAAAGCACTTTACACTGACTTGTTGTGTCAGTTTATGGCACTATTAATGGTTTACTGAAAGACATGCTGCCTTAAATGTATTTTTTTTTTTCTATCTGAAGACATATCCGTTTATGTAAGTAAGAGCAGATCGTTCCATATTATTTATTGAATAAGGTTGTCGACTTGAATAATGCCTAGATTTCATCTTGCTTATTTATATGACTTTTGAACTTAGCTGTTTAAATAAATGAAAGATTCTTACCTCGCTGAGTGAAGTGTCTTTTTTTTTTTTTTGGAAGTACTATAACCAAGATTTAAACTTTGTAGGCTACACGGTAGTAATCATGTGATTCTCACCCCTGCCGAGTGGTTAAGAAGGATTACAGCTGCATTCTTGAGGATTTTCTGTTCTTTCTCTCAATATTTTGTCATAATTTTAATTCAAACTTCATGCTTTGTGTATACTGTCGGCTAAATTTAGGGATGCTCTTTCACTTTAAAAAAAATATTGTTGGTTTAACTTAAAAAAAAAATAAGTAACCTGGTTGCCTTAAAATTTTAAGTTGATTGAACTGGAAAAAGTGAATTAATACAATAAAGGAGATTGATTTAATCATCAGAAACTCAAAAAAATAAGTTATCTGAACTAAATAAATTATTTATGTTGATTTGACAAAAGAAAAAATGTTGTGATAACAAATCTTGACATTTTTTTTTACAGACACAGCATCAATTTAGATTTAATTTTTGTAGTTTTCTGCCCATGGTCTAGGGCTGTTTGCCTTTGAGCTTATAACAAAAAATGAGCTGTTTTGCCCTTTATCCTCAAACAAAAGGCCCCAATAAGTGTAGACATAAACGACTGATTCAGTAAACACACACACACTACATTGTACAAGTGTAGGACACCCCCTTCTAAAGAACACTCTCCTCAAACAAGCATTTTCAGTAGAATGAGTCATACTAAACTCTCTTGAATGTCACCAGTATGATTAAGTGAGTCTGGTGACCGTCATAATCAAAACCCAAGAAAGCCATATCATTTGTTTGAGCACACAACCTTTGACATCATCAACAAAAGATATGGGAAGCAGTTTCCATTTTATATATTTACACACCTTTATAAGATAGCCTTGCCTAAAACACGTTTAATATTCATTCTGAAACTTTTATAGCATATCTAATGAATCAATGTAAATCTTATATATATATATATATATATATATATATATATATATATATATATATATATAAAACATTAATTTATATAATGAGAGCCAACTTACTGAAATCCTATTTAAACTTATTAATATTGTTTGAACAGTGCTGGATATGTGATAAATTGCTTTTGTAAATAGCTTTGGATAAATATAGGCTAAATGAATAATAATAAAAAAAATGTTACATGTAAATAAAATAAAATGTTAAATAAATAAATAAAATGTTACATGTTAATAGTCAAGAAACTCTTTAGATCGTGATCATCAGAATAATGACAGCATTCTATAAAGCAAAATACATAAATCACAGCCACTTATGTCGGGTATAATAAAGGCTTTTGTGAATTAGCCTATTAGCCACAACAAGCATGTTGCGACTAGACTGGTGTGAATTGCTAGCAAACAGACACACACCAGTATAGTAAATATTGTAGCCTATTGCAAATTGGGATTGTGGCCTATATAAAATGACAAATTCATTGAAACAGGATTCAAATGCAATACAATTCTGAGAATCTGCTGCCTGTAACATCTAAAAAGTTATCTGAGCCAAATATGTTAAAATAATCTTATGAGTCCCATCAGATTTAATGTTAATTAATATTTATTTATTTATTTATTTTTTTGTATGTTTATAATTCGTAGGCTAGCCTACTACGGTGCCCGTAAAGGGACATGGACTGAAGGGAAAATGAGATGGAAGAAAAATGTGCCTATTTATTTATCAAAAAATGCGTTCTCTCGTAATTTGCAAATGTTTTGTGTTTCCGGAGACACTTTGTGTTCGCTTTTAAAATGGTTTTGTCCACCTGTGAAACTTTGTGTTCGCTTACAAAAGGTGTGAGTGCATGCAAAGTTTCATGCGAACGCAAAAACATTAAAATATGAAATAGGCCGATGTAATTTTTACTCCCATATCTCTTTTTTACAGGCCTACACGGTGGTGTAAAAAAATGAGATGGGAGTAAAAATGACATATTTTAATGTTTACATATATATGTTAGTAGCCTATTCCTCTACTGTATATTTTTTCCACCACCCCTTCTTTATGGGCTCACAGCCTACCTTTTGTGTGGTTATAGCTTTAAATATAAGTAGGCCTAATAGAACTAAATGTTTATGTTTATATCTATTTGTATAAAGTAGGCTATTTTTTTGTTTTGGTATCGTATTGTTATTTAGTTATTGTATATTGTTTTATGAATGTGGTATGAAATTTTTTAATGCTAATTATTTTGACAGTAACTACTTGAGAAAATATAGTCCATCAGAATGTATCAGAATATTAATTATATTTTGTACAAATTTATTTATTTCTTGTTTGAATTTTGACTGTGATGTTTGTCACATGTCATGCATGCATATAAACAGTAGTAAGTGAATTTAAGACATAAATAGAAAGCGAATAAGCAAACACACTTATTGCTTAGGTGTGATTACTTCAAAGTGCTTAATCACGTTGAGTGAGCATCTTCAAAATTGATTTGCCAGCATCTAGTTATTGTTTAAGTGGCCAGTTGACGTTACAATCCAGTAGAGGGCAGCAGTATAACACATCCGTGGCGAGTTACATCTCAGTTAAAGGGATCGTTCACCCAAATGACGATGCTGTCATCATTTACTCACTCTTATGTTGTGTTCCAACCCTGTATGAGTTTCTTTCTTCTGTTGAACACAAAATAAGTTATTTGGAAGAATGTCAGTAACCAAAGAGTTTCCACTGACTTCCATATGTATAACAATATGGAAGTAAATTTGAGGGTGAACAATCCCTTTAAGACAGTGGCTTAAGAACTAGTTTGACCACCTAGCAATTAGTTAAGGCTAATCAGTTCTACTTTTACTAATTTGACCCATATACCTTTTTATATAACTGACTTAAAATATGAATGACCTTGAAGAAGTAAAATTAGATAACTTGTAAGACTAGTCTAAGCAGTT